AGCGTAGAAGACACAATAAGTCTCCCCCGCAAAAAAAGAGGGGGGGGGGGGGGAACGTGGCCATGATGGTATATATCTTTAATCCCAGCACTTGGGAGGCAGAGACAGATCTCTGTGAGTTCCAGGCCAGCCAGGGATACATAGTGAGACCCTGTCTTAAAACACCAAACCAAACCAAACCAAAAAAGGGTGAGAAAGAAAGCCTGAAGAACTGGTTCTAGAGGAGGTATTTTGACATTTTTATTCTGCAACCAATGTCTTAGAAATAATCCCGTTTGAGGAAGCCATCCCATATAATCGCTGTGAAAACACCCAAATGAATTATGATCTTTGAAGGAGGAGTTCAGCAAACAGTACGTTAACAAACTTAGTCTGAAGAAAACTGGTTGATGTGTAGTTTGGACTTCCTCTATTTAAGGTATTAGCAATTCTTTCTGGTTTTGCATTATATAAACTCCCTTCAGGAAATCATGATTCTGAACAGTAAAGATACTGCATCCTCTCTATGGAGCCCTGGGTTGTAGGCAACTTAAAGCTAATGTTCCAAATAATTTCAATTCTAGTTTATATAAGTTAAAATGAACCATAATCCTTTAGCAATATTTCTTGGGAATAAGACAGTATCTCTCAGATTTTACCCATCTAGCATTAAAAGAAAATTTCATGCTACTATAGTCAATTGCAATATTGTAAAATGCAATATTTGACTATTTTAAAACAGATATGGGAAATCTATTTTAAAAATTCAGGATTCTTCTGGGTTTGATGGTGCATACTTAATAATACCAGCACTCAGATGGCTGAGGCAGGAAATTTGGCACAAATTTGAGGTCTGCCTGGATCACATACCAAGGCCCTATATCAAAAATAAAATATTTTTAAAACCCCAAGTTCACAATAAATAAAGCCACATAAAATATGAAGAAATTTAATGAAGCCATACTTAAAAAGACAAATAAGACATTTTTTTCACATGTGGAATCTAGGTTTAAATTTGTATGCCTCTGGGTTTGAATTTGTATGTCTCTGTGTGGTCATGAAAGTAGAAAGGGGACCATGAGAAGGGAGGAAGATTTTTTTTTTCTTTTTAAGACAGGGTCTCCCTGTAGTCCCAGCTGACCTGAACTCACTATGTAGACCAGGCTGGCCTTGAATGCACAGCAATCCGCCTGCCTCTGCCTCCCAAGTACTGGACTAAAGGCATGCGCCACCATGCCTGGCAGGAAGATATTTTTTAAATGCTTTACTAGCATATAGTAATTACATATAATGGGTTTATAGTAATTTCATAATGTACCTAGTGTATTTTGACCATATTCTCTGCCCCCCGTTGCTGTCTTGTTCCCCCTCTGCCTCCTGCTAATCCCCTTCCTCTTTCTAACTAGCCCCTATTTTCATGCCTTTTTTGCCTCATAGGGTTGTTTATAGGAGCATGGATGAGAAGCACGGCACCTTATCAGTGGCTTCACCACTGAAAAATATTTCTTTCCTTCCCCATGAATCATTAACTGCCTGTAAATCTTCAGGGAGGGGCAAGGCCACATGAACCTTCCCCTTCCATGACAGAGTGCTGGCATATTCAGTCTTGTTCAGGTAATATCAAGCTACTGTGAGTTCAAGAGAACAACAGCCAAGGTCATGCATTCCACACCTCCACACCTCTGCTCCTTCTTTGGAGATGTTCCTTGAGTCTTGAAAGGGGTGAAAGAGCTATCCCATTTAGGACTAAGCATTCAACAGTCATTTATTTTTTTAATATTTATTATTTCTATTTTATGTGTATGAGTGTATTGCCTGCATATACACAAGTGCACCCATATTGTCCAATGCCCTAGGAGGTCAGAAGAAGGTGTTAGATCCCTCAGAACCGGAGCCATGGGCAGTTGTTAGTCGCCACGTGGATGCTAGGAACCAATCCCAGGTCCTCTGCAAGAGTAATCAGCACTTCTAACCTCTGAACAATCTCTCCAGCCCCAATAGTCATTTATTTTAATACTTTGACCAGTTATGAGTCTCTGCAGTCACTGCTGACTAATGCAAAAAGAAACTTCTCTGACTAAAACGGAAAGCAATACTAATCTGTAAGCATAAACATAGTTATTTAGAGGCAATTTGACAGGAACATCATATCCATTTTGCAAAACAACAGCAGTAGCTTCCCTACCAGGGCCTATGACTTCCCCAGCCTCAGCTTTTGGCTGGGTTTAGAGTATCAGATGCAAATTCACTCCTATGGGCATCAAATCCAATCAGAAAGTGGTCAGTGACCCCCATAACAGATTTACCACTATTAAACTAATGGCCCCATCTTTCCTGGCTGGTAGTTATTACTGTACATAGGGTCCACAGCTAAGTAATACTGTTGATAACAATTCTCACTTAGTAGCCTTCCAGCACTATGAGCTTTAGTCAACAGAAGAAAGCTTTCATCTTGGTTCTAGCATGATTTCTTGATATCCTACAACCAAGGCATGTGGCATCTTCAGCAAAAAAAAAGAAAAAAAAAAGATCATACCATCCAATTCTGGTGGGCAACCAACATAACCAGTAAGCACTGGCAATTGCCTGTATTTTTTATTTGAGGGGGGTATGAAGGGCCTTCCTGACCAGCAACTCATAGGGAGGTAGCCTACCTCTGGTACTGGGATTTTCATTTAATAATATTCACCCAAGTAGGTATCTCTGTTCAAATTCTTTTTTCTATTTTATTTTTTGATTAATTTGTCAAGTATCATATTTCCTTATGACTTTTTCATAAATTATTAGTTTTGGTTGATTTGTTCCCTATTTCTTTACTCCACCTCCGTGCCCCTTCATCCCTGCTGAAACCTTTCCAAAACTTCCAACATTTCTTCTTCCACTTTTGCATCACATGAGTTCTACTCCTTCCCTTTCCCTAAAAAAAAATCCCCCCCCAAAAACCCCCCCTCTCATGGTCCAGTTTCCTGGCCTCTACACGCTCACTCCCACATAATGTACATATATAAAAGAAGCAAGGATCTGCATATGAGAGAACAGGCAGTGTTTGTTTTCTGAGTCTGAGTTACCTCATTTCACATAATACTTTCCAGTTCCATCATTTCCCAGGAAACTTCATGATTTCATTTTTCTTTATAGCTGAATAAAATTCCACTGTGTATATGTACCACATTTGCACTATCCAGTCATCAATGGACCGCCTAAGCTGATTTCATTCCCTTGCTATTGTGAATACAGCTTCAGTAGGTGTGGATGTGCAAGCATCTCTGTGGCAGGATATAGTCATTTGGGTATGTGCCCACGAGTAGTAGAACTGGATCATATGGAAGTTCTAGTTTTAACTTTTTGAGAAACCTCCACACTGATTTTCATAGTGGCTTCACCAGTTTACACCTCCAGTGAATAAAGGTTCCCCTGTCCCTGCATCCTTATTAGTATTTGTTGTCATTTGTTTTCATGATGATAGAGAGTCTAACTGGGGTGAGGTAGTTTTAATTTGCATGCCCCTGAAGACTGAGGATGTTTAACACTTTTAAAATATTTATTGGTGATTTGTATTTCCTTTAGTTTGCAGGTTGCAGGTTTGAGAACACTTCTGCTCCATTCCTTAGCCCATTTTTTAAATTGGGTTATCATGGCCTTGTTTTTTAATGTTTTGAGTTATTTGGATATTAATCTTCTATAAAATAAAAGGCTAGTAAAGATTTTCTCCCATTCTGTAGGCTGAATTGTTTCCTTTACTGTACAGAAGTTTTGAATTTTATGAGGTACTATTTGTTGATTGTTGGCCTTATTTCCTGAGCAACCAGAGTCCTATTCAGAAAGTCCTTACCTATGCATACATCTTTTAAAGCATCTTTAAAATTTATCGAGAGAGAGAGAGAGAGAGAGAGAGAGAGGTGTTTATGGTGTATGTGTGGAAGTCAGGGGATAGCTT